TTGAAAAAGATATTGCCTGCCAAAAAATGGAAAAAGGTATAGTAAATGAAAAAGGAAATTGAGTAACAAGAGCAACAACATTAACCATAACTATTAAAAAAATAAAATGAAAATAAACAACGACAAATAAACAACAACATCAATTAACAAAACAACAAGAATACGACAACATCGCCACAAAAAACAACAACAACAAAAAACAACAACAACATCAACAACCCCCATAACTATTAAAAGAACATTAACAACAACAAATAAACAACAACAACAATTAAACACAAGAATACGACAACAACCACCGCCACCAAACAACAACAACAACAAAAACAACAACAACAAAAACACAGCAGCACCAAGCTCTTGTCCTCTCCAAAAGCTATCGTAGATCAGCCATGATAACACCCCCTCCCCACCCCCCACCACCCCGCCATTGATAACTCGCACAAGACAGGCGATTGCACAGATGCTGCAGGTTGCAAATGCACTCCCATATAACACGGAGTTTGGTGACGTCATTGAGGAGGGAGATTCACCCCCCCCCCTCACCCTCCTCCCCCACCTCCCCTTCCCCACTCCACCTCCCCTCCCCCCCCTACCCTCTCCACTCCACCCCTCCTCTACCTCCCCCCCTTCCCCATCCTCTCCCCACTCCTATCCTCTCCCTCCCCCTACCCTTTTCACCCCCCCTCCCCTATCCTCTCCCTTCCCCCCCACATCCTCCTATTCCTCTCCCTACCCGCTCCCTCTCCCCCCCCACTCCCCACTCTCTCCCTACCCCCTACCTCTCCTCCCCCACTCCCCCTACCCCCCCCCCTCCCCGTCCCTACCCTCTCTCCTACCCCCCCCTATCCCTTATCCTGGTTCCCCTTTTGTATGAGAGGATTTCTGCTTCGAGGAAAAAGAAAATGGGAGAGACTTGGGATAAAGAGAGGAAGTGGGATAGGAGGCGATTGAAAGAGGGTGGGAGAGACAGAGAGGAGAGAATGGGAGAAAGGGAAGTGAAAGAGGGTGGAAGAGGTGGAGAGGAGAGAATGGGAGAAAAGGGAAGTGAAAGAGATGGAGAGGAGAGAATTGGATAAAAAAGGGAAATGGAAGAAGGTGTGAGAGATGACGAGGGGAAACTGGGGTAAAGGAAGGAAGTAGGATAAGAGAGGATTGGAAGAGGATGCAAAGGGTAGATAGGAGAGAGGAGAATAAAGGAAAGATTTGGGATAAGAAAGGAAAGACATGAATAAGAGAATAAAAGAAGGACGTGGGATAGAAGAAGAGATGATAAAGAAGGAATAGATATGGACAGGAAGAGGATTAGAGTGGAGGATAGAAGAGACCAGGATAAAAGAAGGAGGTGGGATAGAAGAGAAAAGTGGATAGGAGAATAAAGGAAGGAGGTAGGATAGGAGGGGATAGAAAGATAATGGAAGAGGTGGATGGGAGAGACCAGGATGAAAGAAGGAGGTGGGATAGAAGAAGAGAAAAGTGGATGGGAGAATAAAGGAAGGAGGTAGGATAGGAGGGGATAGAAAGAGAATGAAAGAGATGGATAGGAGAGACCAGGATAGAGGAAGGAGTTACAGTAAGAGGGAGAAAAAAGACCGAAAAAGGTATATAGAAGAAACGGAATAATAGAAAAAAGAAATGAGAGATGTGAGAGACTGTAAAGAAGGAAGGATATGAAGGAACAGTAAAGAATGATAACGTAGTGATAAGAAAGATTATGATAGATTAGAAGACAAAAAAAAAAAATGAAAATAAAAGAAGGGGTGGATAGGAAGAAACAGAATAAGGAGAGGCAGAGGGTGAAGAAAGAAAATGGAAATATGAAATAAAGAGAAAGGAAAGAGATAAAACAGTAAACGAATTCGATTGAAAAAAGGAGAGAGAGAAAGATACGACAGACAATAGAAGAAGGAAGTGGAATACAAGATGAAGGAATGAGGAGGAAACAGGTGTGTAGGAGAGAATGGAATAAAGCAGGGAGGTGGGATAAAAATAAATGAAAGGGAAGGTGAAACGATAGAGGAGGAGCAAGAAAGAGAAAAGGGGAAAGGAGAGAGAGAGAGAGAGAGAGAGAGAGAGAGAGAGAGAGAGAGAGAGAGAGAGAGAGAGAGAGAGAGAGAGAGAGAGAGAGAGAGAGAGAGAGAGAGAGAGAGAGAGAGAGAGAGAGAGAGAGAGAGAGAGAGAGAGAGAGAGAGAGAGAGGAGAGAGAGAGAGAGAGAGAGAGAGAGAGAGAGAGAAGAGAGAGAGAGAGAGAGAGAGAGAGAGAGAGATAGAGAGAGAAGAGAGAGAGAGATAGAGAGAGAGAGAGAGAGAGAGAGAGAGAGAGAGAGAGAGAGAGAGAGAGAGAGAGAGAGAGAGAGAGAGAGAGAGAGAGAGAGAGAGAGAGAGAGAGAGAGAGAGAGAGAGAGAGAGAGAGAGAGAGAGAGAGAGAGAGAGAGAGAGAGAGAGAGAGAGAGAGAGAGAGAGAGAGAGGGAGGAGAGAGATAGATAGATAGAGATAGAG